ACGCAAAGTTTCTCTGCGTTGGCTCTGGATCGTTTCTTTGCTGTGTACTTTCCAATTAAGAAACCAATTACAACAAAAGTGGCTTATATGTTGATTGGATTAGTATGGGTACTATCTATTGGCTTTTACTACGTCTATTGTCATTCTGCCACTATTGTACAACATAACGGCACCAGCTACTGCCATATAGATCCTAATGTAGTATTTCATGGCATTAAAGGATTTAATATGTTCGTATGGTTTGAATTCACCTTTGTTATAATAGTTCCTCTCGTTGTGTCTTTTCTGTTGTATGCAGCAACGATGATCAAACTGTGGAAAAGAAAAGTTCCAGGGAACACTACATTCTCCAGTGCAACAGATAGAGTTAACCGTAAAGTTCTTAAGATGGTAGTCACAGTCTTCCTGGTATTTTTGATCTGTTGGCTGCCGTCTTGGATATGGATCATTAACTGTGTACGAACTGAAATGATACTTAACTTACCAGCTCTGTGCTTGTCAGATGATTTCAGAATCTTTCGATTCATTGTTGCGTACTCTAACAGTTCCATCACACCTTTTGTTTACCTTGCATTCAGCGAAAACTATAGACAAGGTTTTGCAGAAATTATAGCAGCTATTTCTTGTTGTCCGTCACTACGCAGTGCCCTTTTGCGATCGCGCAGCAACACGGTTCATCCTACATTTACTGGCACTTATAACCTGCAAGAAAGGAATACAAAACTGTTTGTTAGACCGACTCGAATAGAACTTAGAACGGTGACAGACGGCTGTGAAACATGATCAGATCTATTTGGATGTCACTGGAAGAACGTATGATATATACACTCAGCGGTTTATTTTTATACAGCCGAAGTGATCGATTAAAGGATGTTACTATTAAAGCACTGTTGACAAACAAATATGTGGGWTGTGCTTAGGTAGTTTAGAGGTTTATTTAAAACACCACCAAAAGCTTGTTACACTCCTCTTGCAACTTCCAACTATAGGCCATACAATGTCAATCTGCCTTTTATAGTACATATTTTTACAATACAAAATGATAGTAATTGGCAGTTTATATATAAATATGATTGGCTAAGACATGAGTTTGACGGACTTTCTAATGATATGTTAACTCGTGGGGCAGAGTACAAAAATGCTATACCCCGTGATAGTTCTACGTTGAATTCAAGGATAAAATTAAGACAGAAGATAGCTCTAATAGAGAACTAACTTTCTATCAAGTTATATTGAAAAGATGTTTAAAATAAATGAGGCTACAAGGCTTCAAACTAGCGTAGGGCGACCAGGKCGAGCGTTGTTTAGGGGTGTAGKTAATGGAGTCACTAGAACTAGTAGAGGGAGTGTAGCATTACAACAATGTAAGTTGCGTGAAAACATCCTAAGGAATTGGATGGAAAACCAGATTATATTTACTATATTATCAAACAATGGGTGCCATGTAATCTTATATGTTGTCAGTCTTAGTTCTTATGGAAAGCTATGAATATTTGAAATTATAGAAAGAACTGGCGAAGTTAAACCAAAGTACTAACAAGTTGTAACTAGTGTTTGAACGTAGTTAAAGTTAATAAAATCTAAGTAAACTAGTGCGGAAAACCTATGAGATAATAACCTAAGTTGTTTAGAAATAAATGTCTTAAAGTCCTATAAGAACTTTGAAACAGCTAACAAAGACTTACTTGCGTACGAAACAGATGTCTAATCGCAATTATGTCA